AACGTTAAATTTAATGTCGGAAAATAAATTTAAAACCCGATTACGTACATGATTTTGGTGGCGATACTAGGTGGGTCCTCGTTGCCCAACAGATAACGACATTTCTCACATTATAAATCGTATTTGTAAGCTTTATTAAATTTTAATTACTGTATAAAAAATTTTTATTTTGTAAAAAATATAATGCAACATATATTTTTAATCAAAATTTTCGGTAACTCCGTACATAACTAATTTTGGTGGTTCGCGATTAAGTGCTCGAGAACCCTAAATCTCTAGGGTTCACACGATCTTATGGTCCGATGACGTTTATTGCAAGACCAAAATGTGTCGATAACATTAAGGATTAGGATGAGTTGGAAGAAGGATTTAGACAACCCTTCTGCCAAAAATATGAGCATAATGTTTTTTCTTAAAGTGTCGATAACAATTTCATAGGCAAAATTTTGAACGTATGGGCGAAATTTACAGTCAGAACATCGTGATTATTAAATTTAAATGTAATGGTCTAAATTACTAAGTGCATACGTACGTACTGACTATAAAATTTATCAGTTATGGTTTTTTGACGTATCATCACTTCTTTGAGTTACGTCTAATAGGTGTTAGGATCAGTTACGGCACTAGCATATGTCTGCATCACTACTAAGGACCCATAAAATATCATTTTTAATCTCGGTAGTCACTCAAAGCCTTGCATATGATTGGATCAAAAAATTTTTATACATATGAAAACATCCCATATGAGTAGAAAAAAATTTTTTTTCTTAATTTTCAACCTGTCATACATTCTGGACATGACAACGTTATTTTGGAATATCCAGCACTGTAATGTATAAAAATAGGTGCCTTGACATATGGGTACAGTAATTGTTTTTCTATACGGTTCAGATTCAAATATAATTTTTGTATTATCTTTTAAGATCCCATATGCAATGCCCCTTAGCAAATAAAACGTTCGTTTTTCCTAAATTAGTCCACCACAAAAAATCAAATTCGCAACATTTTATAATGGCATGTTATTTCGTCTTTTATTAGCAATAAATAATTATGTTTAGTTACTGTGTTACAAATTATTTTACGCTTATTTATTCTAATTTGCACGCTCTATTGCAATATCTCTATACATTGATTATTTAAATTTAATTTAAAGTAAATTTTGTTATTTCGAATGTCCAAATATTTCAGCGTGGTGTTTTTGCAAAGTGCATCCGCTAATACCTTTCCATCTTCTGATCAAGATTAGTATCGCTCAAATTCAAAAATTTCAAAGTATTGTTCTTTCAAAGTGCATCTGCTAATAATAATCTTACCTTTTCTGATTTAAAATAATTACTACCAATGCCCAAAGAATTCAGTGTGGTGTTATCGCAAAGTGCACTCGCAAGTGCTTTTCCCCCCTTTTGTTCCAAGATTATTTCAATAAAGTTTCAAAGAAGTCAGCGTGGTGTTCTTGCAAAGTGCATCTGTTAATGCATTTCCTCCTTCTGATCCAAGTTTATTATTACCAAGGTTCAAAGAAGTCAACATGGTGTTCTTGTAAAGTGCGTCTGCAAACGCTATTCCTCCTTCTGATCCAAGATCATTACAAAGAAGGTTCAAAGAAGTCAGCGTGGTGTTCTTGCAAAGTGCATTTGCTAATGCTATTCCTCCTTTTGATCCAAGTTTATTGTAGCTGAGATCCAAAGAAGTCAGCGTAGTGTTCTTGCAAAGTGCATCTGCTAATAATTTTCCTTCTTCTGACCTAAAACTATTTAAACTAAGATTCAAAGAAGTCAACGTAGTGTTGGTGCAAAGCGCATGTGCTAATACTTTTCCTCCATTTGATCTAAGTTGATTAAAACCGAGATTCAAAGAAGTCAACGTGGTGTTCTTGCAAAGTGCATTTGCAAACGCTTCTCCTCCTTCTGATCCAAGTTTATTTTCATTCAAATTCAAATCTTTCAGAGTATTGTTCTTGCAAAGCACGTCTGCTATTGCTTTTCCTCCTTCTGGTCCAAGATCATTACTATAAAGATTCAAAACTTTCAGCGTGGTATTCTTGCAAAGTGCATCTACTAATATTTTTCTTCCTGATTCATTTTTACCAAGATTATTTTTGCTAAGATTTAATGAAGTCAACGTGGTGTTCTTGTAGAGTACCTTTGTTAACTCGTTCATTCTTTTCAATTCACATTTGTAAGAAAGATCCCATTTTGTAGCACTTTCTTGATATTGGGCGTTATACGGGATATTGTCAAGAATTTCTTCACAAAATTCCAATGCTTTGAGAAATTTACCTTGGCTAAGATATCCTTGTATTTCATTTTTTATAAATTTTAATGAAAATTCGTATAAAATTGTAAAACTATCATGTTTACATATTGTAACAAAATCTTTTGGAAATTTCAAAGCTGATTCGGTTCTTAGCAAGCGTTTTTCAGCTTGTTGACTAATTTCAAATAATCCAATTTCATCTGCTGCAATCAAAATGTCGAGAAGGTTAGCTTTACTAATATCGGAAAATTTTCCTGTATAAATATAGCTATTCATTTTATGAAAAACAAAATCAACATTTCAATTTAATACCATAGAAATTTTTTTTTTATTTGTATATGGAAGGTGTTTATTAGTTTACAGACAACTGAATTAACATGTAACCTAAAAATATAAACTTACTTTATAAGAATTTCAAACACAGGTGGAGAAATATTAGGTTTATTGAAAATAATAATTCCATTTTCTCTCTTTGCCCATCGTGATGACAATGCAACTTTAAAATAATCGGATCTTGCCGATAAGATAATAGAATGTGCTTTAAATTCTTTAGTATTTGGTTCTTCACCAACTTTAATTTTTATATCAAAATCTTTAGTGCTTTCAAGTAAATTTGAAAAATCTTCAACTAAATTTTGAATAGGTTCATTATTCATATTTGCGAGTAAAAAATAATATAGAAAGATACGTAAATACAAAAAAGTTAACGTTAGTTACGGTTTATAATAAAAGAGTATAGGTGGGTTTTAGTGGGGTTTATATTCATTTATGGAAGTATTTTTGTGCACTTACAGAATAAAGAACATGCATTTATCTATAAGCCCCATCATGGGCCTGGACTTATAGGGAAGTGCTGTATTTAGGGAGGGTGCATTTAGGGGGTCTGACTGTATTTAGAAATAATCACTAACCGTAACCCTAAATCCAAAAAAAATGCCTAAAAAATGTACCCTGAAAATTTTTAAAAATCGTATATTAAAATAGGGTTTGATTTCGTGATCATCCGATTTCATGATCATACGTGACATTAAATTTAATCATAACTACTATGCAGTTTTAAGAGGTTTAAGCTTCTGTATAGTTAAATTTGGATATTACCGTTTTAAATCGGTTATAAAAATGCAAAAATTATATATTACTGCAATTATAGCAGCTTTTAATTAACAATAGAATGTCTTCTTGTTGACTATATCAGAAAACACATGGATATAAGACAAACTAAGTAATATTAATACAGTATAATAGTATAATGTTTCTTTTGATGGTTAAATTCGTTGTTTGGGGCTACAATAAATGGGTAGAATCACTACCCAGAAAAATTTTGAACCATTTCACCGTAAAAATTTCATGCTGTTAGGTTCTTGCTACTGGGTTAGAATTTGAAGATGCTATATACCAAAATTTTACAAGGAAAGTTTTTTATCAATACATAGAAGGCAATTTTATAGACTGAGTTTTGAGTTATCAATGATTTATGACAAAACAAACACTTGTTTCGAATGTGCTACGTAACAATTGAAATATATCGTTTTATTCATTATTGTTTATTCAGTATAGTGTTTAATTATTTGTTTTGCATTTAATTGAAGTAGTTAGTAATAAATAATAAATTTGGTTACTGAGTTACATTACATTTATTTTACATTTATTTATTCTAATTTGCATGCTCTATTGAAATATCTCTATACATTGATTATTCAAGTTTAATTTAAAGTCAATTTTATTTTCTCGAATGTACAAATATTTCGGTGTGGTGTTTTTGCAAAGCGCAACTGCTAATGCCTTTCCATCTTCTGATCCAAGATTAGTATCATTCAAATTCAAAATTTTCAAAGTATCCTTCTTGCAAAGTGCATCTGCTAATAATCTTACCTCTTCTGATCCAAATAATTATTACTAATGTCCAAAGAAATAAGTGTGGTGTTATTGCAAAGAGCATCTGCAAGTGCTTTTCATCCTTTTGATCCAAGATCAATCATTTCAATAAAGTTTCAAAGAAGTCAGCGTGGTATTCTTGCAAACTGCATCTGCTAATTCCCATGATTCAAAGTTATTATTACCAAGATTCAAAGAAATCAGCGTGGTGTTCTTGCAAAGCACGTCTGCAAATGCTTTTCCTCCTTCTGATCCAATATCATTCCAATAAAGATTCAAATAAGTCAGCGTGGTGTTCTTGCAAAGTGCATTTGCTAAAGCTATTCCTCCTTTTGATCCAAGTTCATTGTAGCTGAGATCCAAAGAAGTCAGCTTAGTGTTCTTGCAAAGTGCATCTGCTAACAATATTCCTTCTTCTGACCTAAAACTATTTAAACTAAGATTCAAAGAAGTCAGTGTAGCATTAGTGCAAAGCGCATATGCTAGTACTTTTCCTCCTTTTGACCTAAGTTGATTAAAACCGAGATTCAAAGAAGTCAATGTGGTGTTCTTGCAAAGTGCATTTGCTAATGCTTTTCCTACTTCTGATCCAAGTTTATTATGACTCAAATTCAAATCTTTCAGAGTACTGTTCTTACAAAGTGCATCTGCTATTAATTTTCCCTCTTCTAATCCAAAATAATTATTACTAATGTCCAAAGAAATAAGTGTGATGTTATTGCAAAGTGCACCTGCAAACGCTTTTCCTCCTTTTGATCCAATTTCATTCGAGCCAAAATACAAAGAAGTCAACGTGGTGTTCTTGCAAAGTGCATCTGCAAATGCTTTTCCTACTTCTGATCCAATTTCATTCGAGCCAAGATCCAAAGAAGTCAGCGTGGTGTTCTTGCAAAGCATGTTTACTATTGCTTTTCCTCCTTCTGATCCAAGTTTATTACACCAAAGATTCAAATATTTCAGCGTGGTATTCTTGCAAAGTGCATCTGCTAAAGCTTTTCCACCCTTTGATCCAAGTTCATTCGAACCAAGATTCAAAGAAGTCAGTGTGGTATTCTTGAAAAGCATATCTGCTATTGTTTTTCCTACTTCTGATCCAAGTTTGTTGGACCAAATATTCAAATCTTTCAGAGTGGTATTCTTGTAAAGTGCATTTACTAATCGCTTGGTTATAAGGTCATTGGATCCGAGTTCAATTTTGCTAAGGTTTAAGGAAGTCAGAATGGTGTTCTTGTAGAGTACTTTTGTTAACTCGTTTATTCTTTCCAATCCACATTTATTAGAAAGATCCCATGTTGAAGCACTTTCTTGATATTCGACATTATACTGGCTGTTTTCGAGAATTTCTTTAGAAAATTCCAATGCTTTGAGATATTTACCTTGTCTAAGATATCCATTTGTTTCATTTCTTACAAATTTTAATGCAATTTCATATAAATTTGTAAAAGTATCATGTTTGCATATTGTAATAAAGTCTTTTGGAAATTTCCAAGCAGATTTGGATCCTAGCAAGTGTTTTTCAACTTGCTGACTAATTTCAAATAATCCAATTTCATCTGCTGCAATAAAAACGTCGAGAAAACTAGCTTTATTATTATCGAATAATTTTCCTGCATAAATATAACTATTCATTTTATAGAAACAAAATCAAACATTTCAATTTAATACGTACCATAGAAATTATTTCGAATTTTATTTTATATGGAAGGTATTTATTAGTTTACAGACAATTGAATTAACATGTAACCTAAAAATATAAACTTACTTTATAAGAATTTCAAACACAGGTGGAGAAATATTAGGTTTATTGAAAATAATAATTCCATTTACTCTCTTTGCCCATTGTGATGACAATGCAACTTTAAAATAATCGGACCTTGCTGATAGGATAGTAGAATGTGCTTTAAATTCTTTAGTATTTGGCCATTTACCGACTTTGATTTTTATATCAAAATCTTTAGAGCTTTTAAGCAGGTTTGAAAAATCTTCAACTGAATTTTGAGAAGGTTCGTTATTCATCATTTCGAGTAAAAAATAAAAAGATAAATACAAAAAAGTTACAGTATCTCTTATTAACGTTAGTTACGACCAGTGATACAAGAGGATTATTTCTATATATGTAGAATAGGCTGTCCAGAATTTCCAGAATTACCAATTTTTAGAAACCATTTTCCGAATTCACTGAATTCGTAGAATTTTGGAAATTTGCAGAATCCACAGTTAAATAGTAATTTCTAGGTCCACTTTTGCATTTTCTATAAGCATTAAAGAGTAAATTCGATTTATTGGTTAAACTAGAATATGAACATGCAGGTGGCTTCGCCGCTTGATTATAAATAATTAAGATTAATGGTTTTCATAAAGTAAGAAGCGTTGCCAATAGCAAATATTTATAACATAGTTTATAAATGTTCATTTTCTTATATATATTATGCCTTAGACCGGTTCTTTTCTCAGGTGATAATTGAGGCACCTCAGTCAGATGTGGTGCATAACTTGTGAGGAAATTCAATCAATTTTTATTGTTCAATGTTATATTAACACTTAAAGAATACTGATACAAGGTTTTAATAAAATAACCTGAAGAAAAGAATGTTTTATTTGCATACTATGTATTGAGACATCAAAGGCATTGTGCATTTTTATGAATTTATCGAGATTGTCAAATTTATAACCTGAAGAAATTTTGGTCACAAATTTTTATTCTACAATCAATATCAAAATTTATGACTAGTAAGGGTTTATTAGTGTTTCATTCACACCTGACACTTGACTAGAAAGTTATGCGATTTTAAATTTCAATATATTTACCACTGATTGACGTGCAAAAAGATTATATTTGTTTGACAAACCGACTTGTTTAACGTAACGAGTGAATAAATAAAACTAGGAAACCGAAGGAGCATAATGATTGTTTTTATCAGATTAACCAATCAAAATCCGTAATTCGCGGATACACACATTTGTGTAACTATCTTGTCTGACCGTAGTATTCTCAAAAAATAAATCCTATCGCCATGGTCTGCCTTATAAGACAACTGAGGTAACCGATTAACGATTTGCGTACAACGGTGCCTCATTTATCACTGAGACAAAACCCGATCTAATAATATGCTCACGTATCTTCTTCAATGTGATTAATTTATGATCGTGATTGGATTTTTATGATTTAGGATGTTAGAATGCCCCTTTGAGAGGATCATTTTGGTAGTTAAGAAACTAATTAGAAAATACTCCTCTTGAGGCCCTATTGCTTATAATAGTCTATACCATATAATTACAGAGTAGGTGTATTTATGTCTATACTAGAAGATTGGTGCTCAAGTATTACAATTAATTTAAATACAGTATTGACTGCAATTGATGCTTGAGCAAACATTTATTACCATTTAGTGATTATTGTT